AATTCTCTTGCCACAGACACAAAAGCCCCTCTTTTATCAAAGAAAGTGCTTTTCACAATTGAATCAGTAGCAATTAAGCTAAATAGGAACACATTTAAGCAGAGAACTAGAGCTACATCACTATACTGTTACATATAAATAACATTTTTTATGAACTTTATCACAATTTTAATGGTTTGTTGACCTTAGACAGTAAAATAAAAATGTTATATAAAGCATTTTCACTCAGAAATTGCTAGTAAGTTTCACAAATTATTATGAAGAAACAGCAAGTAACAGTAAATTAAACATGAAATTTAGAAGTAGAAAGACTGACATTGTATTTTTTCTTGTAAAACTAACTCTAATAATCTTTGTTTTATTTACAGCTTAATTTTTTTTCACAAGCCTTAATTTTTGTATATTGCATTATGTATCATATTATGATGACTGAAAGCCATCAAACATTTTTGGGAAGTCATTATTGGACACAATTATGATACAGCACCAAGCTGTAACACACTAAAATCAGGTGCTTCAAAATGACCAAATTTAGGCTACCAGTTCATTTGGAATCAATTCATTGTTTGGGTGTTCATGGTTCTGATGTTAAAATATACTATCAGTCTTTGGAACATTTCAGATGAATTGATTAGTATCTTTGGTGTCACTGCTTTGGTGTCATTTGCTGCAATTTTGACAGAACGCATGGTAAATTTGACCAGAATTTCATGAAAACATCTCAAAGTGGTCCTGATTTTACAAAATCCCATCAGTCTTTGGCACATTTCAAATGAATTATTCAGTATCTTTGGAGTCACTGTTGAGCATTTGAAAAACATTTAGTTCTGTTTATCTAAATTTCAGGAAAACATGTCAGAGGACTTCATGTTTTGAAGCAGAGCAGAACTTCGGTTGAGGATGATGTTCTTGAGGGTCCTAGCTCACAGCCGTAGGGGTGTTTTCCACCATTGCGTACTCCATCTCGGTGCCCTGAGAGCCCTCCATGAGTCGCTCCAACCCTGTATGTTTGGAGTATTTAAAGATGAAGGCTTTCATGAGGTCATAGCGGTAGTGACGGTGAGCAAAGCTGTAGACCACGGGGTTCACACAGCAGTGCAGCAGCGACAGGCATTGTGTAAGGTGCAGCGCCACAAAAAGGCCGTTCTCTGAACTGCAACCCAGCGGGAACACACCTAGCATCGCTAGCGCATCGGCTAACAGCACAGCATGATAGGGTGCCCAGCAAGCTATGAAAACCACTATGTACGTGAGGATGACCTTCCCGCTCACGCTGAGATCCTGGTCGCCATTTGAAGGGGAATGAGAGGAAGAGGAAGCCAGATTGTTTGCCAACAGCGCATAGGACACTGCTATAACAGGGAAGGGTATGACAAAACCAAGAACCACAAAACTCAGCTGAATTCCCACCATCCACTGCAAAGGGTTGTCTTGTGGATATACAGGATGA